AAAAACGAACAAATATATGTGTGTGTGTGTGTGCGTGCGTGTGTGCGTGTGTGCGTGTGTGCATGCATGCATGAGTGTATGAGAGAGAATATGTTCATAATATGTGGGCAGATACATACATGCGCACACACACACAATGTTAGGCTAGCTTAAAAATGGGCCCAATCTATTCTTCTATGCTACTTCTTCTATTCTTCTCTTCCATTTGAAACAGTGGAAGATTCAGTTACCAACCTTGATGAGTCAAGTGAGTCTACCCAGAGCATCGAGAGTGGTGATCATGCAGAGACCCCTAAAGAGTTGAAATTACCTATTCCTGGAGCACTGGAGCACGGGCTCGAAAGCGAAAGGCAAAGTCGAGCAGAGTTGAAGATGACGACTTACGGCAATACATGATTGACAGCAGAAGGATGATGCAGGAAATACAAACTGCTGAGCAGAGGCGACTGGAAGAAGAGACTGCTGCATTTGAAAGAATGATGAGGGCTCAGCGGGAGGCAGATGATAGGAGATTTCAGGCTTTACAGGCACAGCAACAAGCCAGCAATCAGATTCTTATGCAACTAATGAGCACGGTGGTAAGTGTTGTTGCACCAGGCCATTCTCAATCAATGTCGCCCTGAACCACACCTCCTCCCACTAGGGCCTGGTCAGTGCCACAGACATATCAACCACAGCCTGCTGCCCAGCCACATGGGGTTCCTCCACATCCCCAAGATGCCCAAAATCAACGTCCCAGCACTTCATCTATCCTACATGACATTAATAGCCAACCGCACTTTTACCATTTGTAGGCTGTTTATGTAGCATAAAGTAGGTCATATTATTTGCTTTCAGTTAAGGCAAGAATGTTCATTCAGTGGAGGAATTTCTTTTGGTGTTTACAATATTACCTCATTCTCCTTGGTTGCTAAAACACTCTTTTGTGAGAAGAGACTACTTACTCTTATACAGCACATGTTCTTGGGGTACAATTACAATAAGGATAGAGCTTTTTGAGGATTTTTTTTTTGTTCATGTTTAAACAATATGATACCTCATTATTTAGGGCCTAAAACACTAAAGGGATAAAACTCTTTTGTGAGTTTAAGCACGTTTAAACACTTTTGATTTGACTTCTTACTTGAGGTACCAACTGTTACAGCACATCATGTTCCTGAGGTGCAGTCAAGATCTTTTTGTTAACATGCCTAAACAATGTGATACCCCATTCTCATTAATGTGGTTGCAAAAATGCTCTTTTTGTGAGAAGTAGCACTATTTACCTTTACTTTTTTTCCTGAAAGTTGTATTCATGTACAAAAGCAACACATTTGAGAATAAACTATAAATTGCTTTAATTGTGATTTTCCTTTTGTAGAGTATCATTTACAAACATTCAAACAGGTTCTGTTTTTAGGAAGGGATATGGCAAATCTACACACTGTTTATAGCCAAACATGGTTTCATT